TATCAAGTAAGTTTCAGATCAATTCTTAGGAAGTTTGGAAGACAGTGTATTTGTCTCAGAGTAGGAGCAAGGAAGCTGGAGTATTTATATCTCTGTGGCAATGAATTATTGGCCTCTTGTCCCCGGAGGACATAAATTCTCAGGCATGTTCCTGTTGGTAGGCAAAACAGGCTCCTATAACCTGAGGGCAGCTCTCTAGTAAGGCAAATAGGTGCCAGGTACTGGAAACGAAAGCTCACCTCAAACTAGTATGCATTCTAGTAAGGCAAATGGAGGATGTGTATTGCAGTTACTGCCTGTAGTTGAAGATTTCTTTTTCATGGGAAAGAACCTCTACATTGATTTTTTAGCACACATATAGCTAAGGTAGGGATTGTCTCAGGATGAACCTGTTTCTGTTAATAATAGTAAAATCAAAATATACTTGGTTTATGGAGAAATCCAATGGAGTAATTCTCACCAGGAATCTCTTCATAAGTGACTAAAGATCCCCTGGTAACGAGGAAAATCAGAAAAAAAAAAAAAAAAAAAAGGAATGATGGAGGCAGGCACACAATCTCAATAATGCTGATTCAGTAACAATGACATAGTAAATAGAGGCAGTTATTGAGAGAGTAAAAGTGAGTATGGTTCAGCCCTTCAGACTTCATGAGGAGAGAGGGGTCTGCAGTTAAAAACTAAAGTGGCAGTTTTACCAGAATCTCTTTAAGACATAGTGCTCAAGATAGTTCTGCTTGAAACTCATGTAATGAAGTGGGAAGGGACACTTGGAAGATATTGGTTGCTGGGCTGCACCCCACAGGCCTGCAAGCCCTGTACTTGCCCATCCTTGAGACTGAAGAATGAGCCTAGAGTCATTGACAGAAACATTAGTGGTTTAATGGATAGAGAATCCTATATGTTTGAAGCCAGGTCCTGAAGTGACAGACCCCATGTGGGGAGAAAGGCAGGCAGGACGTGGCAGCAGTCTTAATTGGGTTGGGGTGGCGGGGCAAGGAGGCTACCATTTATAAGGGAATTGATATCAGGTTGGCTCCTCAGTTACCAGGGAAACCAGCAACTAGGGCACATCCCTCACAGCCCCTCAGGTTAACAACCATCATGAGGGCCGATGTTTTGCTTTAATAAACTAAAAGTGGAGCCATTCTGGCCTAAGGAGCAGGGGGAAAGCATGCTCATATGAGGGACTGAGTCAAGTTGGCTCATTGGTTACCAGGGAAACCAGCAGAGAGGCATGCTCCTCATGTCCCCTTTGATAAGTAATTATAATGGAAATGTTCTGATCTAAAGTTAGAACAAGCATTAACTGGGGCTGCAGCAAGTTTGAAGGATGGTCGGTAGTGTGGGTAGGGAGTAGCTGAAGCAGGCACGGGATGAGCAGATGTACAGAGAGCGAGAGAACAGCCACCTTGAGTGGCCTGACAAAACACCCCTCTCCTATACACCCTGCACGATCCTTACAATCCTGCTCCCCCACCTCTTACCTTCCACATTATCTCTGGGGTCAGGTATGCAGGGGTGAACTGCAACTAAATACCACAAATGCAATATAGATGACAGCAGCTAAAGAGTGTTAGGAGTCCAAGAGGTAGGCAAACTTGAGTCAGGCCCTTATTGGGTCAATTTTTCATGGAAGGTCCAGAGGAGGACCACATTGGCATCTCCCTGTAGACCCAGCAATCCAACTCATTTCATAGGGAGGCCACTGTTGTCACCCAGTCTGTGAACAGGTTCCCTCTGCTCAGACTAAGGATGAAACATAAGTTGTTTAACAGGCGCGGTACAGGGGAGAGCATGACCATTAAGCAAAATACAAGCAGTACCTGCATTCTGAAATAATACCACCCCTGTCTGTGGTTTCTGTCCTTGCCTGAGGACCTCACCACCCATCTACCTGCAGACCCCATAGCTGAGGGCTGAATACTGGAGAGGTCATATAACAAGACCTCAGGGTTAGTAGAATGGTGTCCTTCTCCAGTAGGGGGCCCAGATTAGTTACCTTAGTCCTTTTAGGTGGGGCCCAGGAGGAGGAGACAGGTGAAATCTGTAAGTCCCTTTCTAATTCTCTTCCCCATAAGGCTGCAAATCCAAACCACGGGGACTTACCCGCCAGTCTCAGGGCCATGTTGTTATAATGTAGTTCACTGGGGAAGATCCTATGATGAGGGCAAAAGTGAATTATTGTCCCGACCAACAGTTGGCAACAGTCCTTCTGTGGTCAACTAGGGAACTCGATGGCACTGACTAGTTGCCTCTGAGTTAAGATGGTGTCGGCACTGGGACCATTGCTCCTGGGATGTGTCCACCACTGAGGGAGTGGGTTTCCTGTCTCAGATGTTGAAGCAGCTCATTCACAGCCCAGCAGCAATGGAGTTGTGAGGCAGGGGAAGATGCCACTGTGTATCATTCTCACGGGCCCATTCCTGAACCTCATGGCTGAAAAAGTGGATTCCCTTGTCACTACTGGTGTCCATGGGGGTCTTGAATCTCACACACAGCTGTTCTAGACCCAAAACAGTGGCTTATTCACCAGCTGTCTCTTTGGAATCTAATGAGCCACGAGCATGGGGCTGCTACTTTTAAACTAGAAAGAGGCTCTGTGGTTAACAGGATATCGTCAACATAATGGAAAGAGAAAGATGCTTCTCATAGTAGACAGCGGCCACAAGGCCCCATATGCTAGTGAACGGCCTGCGTGCTCAGAGTCACCCCTACAACTTTCCGTTCCTTGTCCTTATTTCCTAACATCTTGCACTCACAAGAGTTTCCTCCATCTTCTGGCTGACTCACCATTCTGCACCCTGCAAGCCTTGTGCTTACCCAGCCTTGAGACCAAAGAAATAACCTGGAGACAGTGACGAAGACAGCAGTTGCTTATTGGACAGGAGACCGTATATGTCTGAAGCCAGGTCCTGGAGCAGCACCTCCACAACATGCGGCAACCAAGGAGCAAAACACCCAAGGGCCGGGCCTGGGGAGGTTATCATTTATAGGGGGAATGACGTCAAGGAGGTTGGCTCATCAGTTACCAGGGGAACCAACAGCCAGGGCACTTCCCTCCAGCCCCTCAGGTTAACGACCATCATGAGCACAGCTGTTTCCCTTTAATAAGCTAGCAGGTGGAGCTATTCTGGCCTAAGGAGCAGGTGGAAAGCACATTCCTGTGAATGGAGTGTCGGTGAAGCATGTGTAGGTGAAGCAGGAGATATACAGAGAGCAAGAGATCAGCCACCTTGAGAGGCCTGACCATACGCTAGTGCTTTAACTCAGTTCACCAGATATTCATTAAAAATGCTTATTTTGAAGACTCAAAGGAGCATGGCACAGGCTTGGAATGTCGGGGCCTTCAGCATGTCAGTCACATCCATGTAGTGCTCTCAGTGATAAGATTGTGGTTGTTCAGTCACTAAGTCATGTCCGACTCTTTGTGACCCCATGGGCTGCAGCACACCAGGCTTCCCTGTCCTTCACTATCTCCAAGAATTTGTTCAACTTTATGTTCATTGAGTCAGTGATGCCATCTAAACCGCTCACGCTCTGCCACCCTCTTCTCCTTTTGCCTTCAATCTTTCCTAGTGTCAGGGTCTTTTCCAATGAGTTGGCTCTTCACATCAGGTGGCCAACGCATTGGAGCTTCAGCTTCAGCAAGAACCTGTCATTTGTGTGGGCCCTTTCCAAGCTTCCACTGGAGGAAGGCAGGGCGCTAGAAATATGTTCATGTAGCCTTAAGTGTTTGAACATTTTGGCCAGTTTTAATCACAGTTGTGTCTCCATTCTGTTGGCCTCCATGAGTGCTGGGTGATGAAGTGATGGATGCAACTGTTTAATATTGATAAGAGAAAACTGAAGTGGGAATATGTTTAATTTAGGCTAGAAATTAGGATATGATTGTGTGGTTTGGGTCAATAATGGGTAGAGTTAAATTACTGCTAGCTAACCTTGTATAAGAACAGCTTCCTGGGACACTTATTATATCATCCATAATGCCTACTCATGTGTGTAATGCAATTTAAATACAATGAAAAGGAGTGAATCAAATGAACATGGGGTTTCCCAGGTGGGGCTAGTGGTAAAGAACCTACATGCCAATGCAGGAGACCTAAGAGACACAGGTTCAATCCCTGGGTCGGGAAGAACCCATGGAGAACGGCATGGCAACCCACTCCAATATTCTTGCCTGGATAATCCCATGGACAGAGGAGCCTGGTAGACTATAGTCCACAGGTTCACAAAGAGTTGGACATGACAGAAGCATGCAAGCACACATAGTCAAAAACCAAAACAACTGTGGTGTGGGGAAAATACTTTTGTATGTGTTTTGAATTTCAGAAAATACAACAGAGATCACTTTAAAAACTTGATTGCAATAGGAAGAGAAGAATCAAATTTCTGTCTTTAGGAGCTCTCATTGTATAGTACATAACTTAAAAAATATAATACACTTAAAGTTAGGACCATGTTAATCAACTGGTTCAATTTTAAGTCATCTTTCATTTTCAATGTAGGCCTTTTAATAATATATTTAATAATCAAGATCTTTCTTCTGATACAAGCATACAGAGCCTTTAGGTTATATGACCTACCAGGAAAAACTTACAGGTTTCATTAGTAAATTTTTTTTCTTTTGTCACATTAATATCATAGGGAAGAAAGAGGGTTCACCAAACAAAAATATATCTACTTTGGAACTTCTTAATTTAGTTCAACAAGTATAGTCAGGAGGCATTTTGCTGAGAAAAAAAAAAAAAGGATGCCCTTACTTCCCCCCCCCCAACTTTATTGGGATATAATTCACATGTGACATTGTATAAGTTTACATCATGTTGACTTGAAACACTTATATTTGCAAAATGGTTACCACCATAGTGTTAGCTAACACCTCCATCATGTCACATTATTACCATTTCTTTTTTGTGTTGAGAATGTTTAAGATTTACTCTTAGCAACAGTCAAGTGTAAAATATATTATTTACTATAATCACTATGCTGTACATGAGATTCCCAGAATTTGCTCTTCTTATAACTGGAAGTTTGTACTCTTTGACCAACATCTCCCCTTTTCCCCTATCCCCCAGCCACTGGTAACTCCCATTCTAATCTCTACCATTGTAATCTTGTTTCTATGAATTAGGCTTTTTTTAGATTTCCCCGATAAGTGATATCAAAATATTCGTCTTTATCTGACTTATTTTACTTAGCATAATGCCTTCAAAATCCATTCCTGTTGTGCAGAATGTCTTTTATTTTCATGGCTTAAATAAACATCTTCTTTATCCATTCGTCATTGATGGACAATTGGGCTGTTTCCATATTCTGGCTATTATGAATAACGCTGCAATAAACATAGAAGTGCAGATATCTGAGATACTGTTTTCATTTCCTTTGGATACATAGAACTGGGGCTGCTGGATCATGCAATAATTCTGTTTTTAATTTTTTGAGGAATCACCATACTGTTTTCTTTAGTGACTGCCTTTTCTTTAGTGGTTGCCATAACTACCTTCCCATCAACACTGTACAGGGGTCCCTTTTCTCCCCATCCTCACCAACACTTGTTATCACTTGTTTTTTTTGATAATGGACATTCTAATATGTATAAGATGATATCTCATTGTAGTTTTCAATTGCATTTCACTGATGATTAATGATGTTGTGCATTTTTCATGTACCTGTTGGCCACTTGTATGCCTTCTTTTGGAAAATGTCTATTCAGTTCTTCTACCCATTTTTAAGTCAGAATTTTTTCATTATTGAGTTGTATGAGTTCTTTATATTTTGGATATTAACCTCTTATCAAACATATGATGGGCTTCCCTGGTGGCTCAACAGTAAAGAATCTGCCTGCAATTCAGGAGCCGAAGGAGATACAGGTTCAATCCCTGGGTCGGGAAGATCCTCTGGAGGAGGGCACAGAAAGCCACTCCAGTATTCTTGCCTGGAGAATCCCATGGACAGAGAAATCCCATCGTGGGCTACAGTCCGTGGGTTCACAGAGAGTTGGATATAACTGAAGTGACTTAGCATGCATGGAAACATATGATTTGCAAATATTCTCTTCCATTAAGTAGGTTGTTTTTTAACTTATTAATGGACTTTTTCCTTTAATCCCATTCTTAAAGAGAAAATTCTCGTTTCAGATTTTACATTTTCTTTCTATACCTTCAAGACAGACTCCTATATTTGAATCCTTACTGTATTTTCAAAGACCTTGCTCCATCTCGTCACCCTGTCCTTCCATAACTTCACTTCCATTCCAGCATTTCTTCCCCAAAGCTTCCCTGGGCCAGGTTCCTTTCCCCACTAGGTCACTCTTCCTTTCCCTCTGTTCTCCTCTGGCTATATTCCCATCCCTTCCTCTTCCCAACTAAATTTTCTGAAAATAATTTTCTTGTTTCCTCTGCTCTCTCATTCCTCTTCACCCACCATCAAACTGCAAAACGACCTGCATACCCATGTCTTGGCTGAGTATGTCATGAAAAAGCCACCAGTGAACTAAACACAACGTGACTGTATTCCTTTTCTGACCTCACCAACCCGAACTGCAATGTACTTATTGTTGATCTGCCATCTTTCTTTAAGGCCACGAGTTCCCATGATAGTTGTGTCCTCCTATTGTTCCTCACACGTACAAGCCTGACTGTTTAATCTCTGTTATGTGTGGGCATTTCTTATTCTGTCCACTCCTTGAATGTTGGCATTCTGTCTTTGGCTTGGTATTTTTTCATTCATAGACTCTTCCTGACTACTACACATTTAGGTCTTTAGTACTGAGCATACATACTTTTATATCTTTGTCTCTATCCCAGTCCTTTTTGCAAGTTTCAGATATACAGTCAGGGTTTTGTTGGGCTTGCTGTTACACATTGAATTGTCTCCCCAAAAGATACTGAAATCCCCCAGTACCAAATGTCACCTCATTTGGAAGTAAGGTCTTTGCAGATAACCAAGCTAAGATAAAGTCATTAAGGTGGGCCCTAATTAAATACGACTTGTATCTTTATAAATTAGGGGATTTATTTTTTGGCTGCGTCTGTGACTTGTGGGTTCTTAGTTCCCTGACCAGAGCTCAAACCCTGGCGAGAGCAGTGAAAGTGCTGAATCCTAACCACTGGACCACCAGAGAATTCCCCAAACAGGGAAATTCTGACACAGAGACAGATATGTAGAGAGGGGAGAAGAGACGAAGACACACAGAGAAAGCTATCTACATGCCAAAGCATGCCTGGAAGAGAGGCATGGGACAGATTCTCTCTCACAAATCTCAGAAGGAACCAGTTCTGCTGACATTTTGCTTTTGGACTTCTAGAAATGTGAGACATAAATTACTACTCTTTAAGTTACAAGCCTGAGGTATTTTGTTATGGCAGCCCAGGAAAGTTATACATACACCTGCTTATTTACCCCACTTTTACTACTAATTCATGTCTCAAAGTCAAATCATTGTCTTCCCCCTGAAAAAAACTCTTCCTGAATTCTCTGGCTTAGTTATTCAGACCACTCTTTATCCCATATCTAAGGTTAGAGGCCCGGGACTCCTATCTCCTCTCTTCTCCTGCATCCATCTAACCCAATGCCATGATCTTTCAATTCTACCTCCTGAACATTATTCATGTCTCTCTTCTTTCCATGCCAGCTCTTCGAGCCCTAGGTCAGTCCTCACTGCTGCTGTGTGGACCACTAACTAGTCTCCCTGATTCTGGAACTGAGCCAGCATATGCTATCTAGAGAGAAAATCTGCCCATGTCACTATCAATGCTAGGACACTCTTCAAGCTTTTTAACATGGCAAACAAGACCTCCATGCTCTGTCACACTCACCTCCCTACCTTAATCTTCTGTCCTTCACTAACTGACCATCTAGGCAAGTGAGTCCCTTTAGAATCCATCCTTTTTCTTGCTTTCATGCTTTTGCATAAGCTGTTCTCCAACATGGGAAATTTTACCATAACCCTCCTCATTTAACATATAGATCAGGAATTACTTGCAGAAGATCTCCCCTTTGTTCTTCAGTTTAGGATTAGAACCCCTCATCTGGTGTCCTCTAATGACCTGTATGTTCCCCTGCTATTGTACCTAAGATAATGCACTGCCACGTATTATTATGTCTATCTTCCACATTTGAATAGGGACTGTGTCTAATTTACTCGAGTGTTCCAAGGGTTTAGATTCTAGACTATGGAAAATCTTCTTTATCCTTGTCCTAAATTTTCACACAGAACTAGTGTCCATAACATCACTTCTATACAAAATAACTTAATGGCTATAATCTATTCTACATGGTAAAGATCACCACAGGGAGCAACCTAGAATGTAGTTCTGGTCCCTCTGAACATGTTATGACCTACTGACACCCACAAATTATAATTTAAAGAAATACTGATCTATTTCACGTTTTGAGCTTTATATATGACTCTACTGAAATCATTGGATCCTAGAAGGAGAAACATTGCAGACTCATAGTGGGTAATTTGAGGACAGTGTTAAATGAGACAATTACATAGGGCTGAGACAGTGGGAAGAAAACCATAAGATATTCCAGGGCTTGCAACATAAAGGCCAAAAAAAAGAGGTGTGAAAGGACAGAGGGAGAGAGAAGTTACAAGAAAGTATGTAGAGGGTTGTTTGCTAGGAGCTGTGAACTGCAGAGGAAGGATCACCCACCTGCAGTCTCCACGGGGAGGAACAGTAGAGATAAATACTCTTATCCTCACTCTCCTACCTCCACTGAAAATCCAGCAGAAGCCAGTAGAGAAAGTGTGGGGTGCAAACCACACAGGTCAGCCTCCTGGGGCCTGAGCAGGATGGAGGGGAGTGGAGCACGCAAAGGAAGGAACACATGGACAATACTGAGCCCAACAAATATAAATCGGTGTTCGTTTTTGCAAACAGGAGGAACCATTGCCTTAGTGAGGTTATTGCCCTGCATTAAGAGTTTCAAAACATTGTTTCCTGTTTGGAGATCCAAAATCTATGAATCTAGCATACTGGCTCCCATACAGCAGCTTCTCTGAATGCACTGTTAATTCCATGAAGATGACAACTTTTTTCTTGGCTATCATTTTATTTGGATTTTTACTCATCTTATATTTTCCTCAAAAAGAAGTCTGAGTAAAATAAAGAAATGATCTCAGATTTGAAAATAGCTACAGCAAAGAAAATTTTTTTCTGTTTGTCCACCACTGAAGCCTTCTCATTTATGAGATAAAGTACCTAATGACTTTCCATCCAAAGTGGGGTAACTAAGAAAGAAAAATGACATAGAGTTAAACATGTAATACTCCAACGTAAAATAAAAATTAAGTTTAAATAGTGCTTCTGTGGTTTTAACCATAGATGAAATCATTACTCTTTACCTTCATAAATGAGTAAGTTTTCTTTCTTTAGCCCAGTCTTGGACATCTGCTTTTCCAAAGATAAGATAGAATATCAGTCCTAATGTGTTAATGACAAATGACAAGGAAAAGACATTCCTCCACCCAAATTCAGGGTCCTGAGGAAACAAAAGTTCAAGTAAGTATTACCCCTTTTATTCCCTTTTCCTATAAAACTCACATTAAAAGTTTAGAAGACAATGTTCACCAGTGGATCTTCATGTGTAAATTCATTTCCTAAACACAGCTTAATAATTTGATGGAAAGAATTTCAAAATGGATTCAGAATGTTCTTCATAAAACCACTACAATATTGTAATTAGCCTCCAATTAAAATAAATTAATTTTTTTTAAATGGACTTAGAGACTTTTATATTTAACCTCCAGAATTGCATTTGTCATTATTTATCAAAGTGCCAAACACTTTCTCTTTTGTGCGAATCATGACTCTCTCTATATACATATTTACATACATATATATATATACACTAATAAAATTTCTTCTTCTCCAGTGCAAGAATCTTGGAAGAAGACGACTGTGGGTTTTGAAGCTAGATAGGTCTAAGAAGAATTCTGATTCTACATCCTCTCAATGGAAAGACATATTCTATCATATTTTAATTATCAGGAAATAAGGATATTAATACTTTGTTTTCATAATTAGTATGAGAATCAATAACTTAGATTACTGTTTATGAAATACCTATAATACTCCCTGCATATATCAGACACTTAAACATATTTGCTTTCATTACCTCTTTGCTTTTGTATGGTTATGCAAATGAGAATTTCAAAGTGTTGCAGAAGACATGATAAGTTGCATATATGCATGGATTCATCATCTTCTCATAGGACATGTATGTCACTGTGTGATTTCGAAGACTGGAAATTACCAGCGGATCACCAGGGAGTGCTTTGGTTTCAGAATGAGGTCACGAAAGAAACTGTTCTGTATTTTCCTTTGCTACGTTGATCTTCATGACAAAGCTACTTATGATTTAATTTTATTCTCCAAAATGTGAAAATGTTTTTTATGCTATTATTGTTATGAGTGGATTTGGCAGAGCATTTTAAGAAACCCTGACAAGAAAACCTTACCTGACTGAGAAGAAATCCACTGACAGTGGGTGCCAGGACAGCAGATAGCTGTGCAAATGCTCTTGACATTCCCATGAGAAAACTAGAATGCCTGTGGGTGACAGGAATGTTTCAGGCTAGATCCACATTTGTTTGGCAGCATGCTTCAGCCCCAGAATATATCATATATTAATAGCAATTATGTCAAAAAGACTTGCTCTGTCTATGTCCAATGAAAGCACTGAGGCAAATAAATAATGCCCTTCCCTCCACATACCTGAAAATAGCCACAATCATCATCACCCACGATTTATAATTTTGCGAAGTTTGAGGCTTCCAGAAGTCTGCAGGCTAAATTTTTTTCAGAAAATATGAAAATGAGAGTGGAGATTACAGTCCTACCTTGGAGCAATATCTAAGGCATTGACATAGACCCCTGGCTGACATAACAGGCCTAGTCCACAGGAGAGTGTCAGAAGGCTCACTGCTATGATATAGTTGGAGGCAGCGAATGGCAGAACCAAAAGGAATGTTGAGGAGGGGAGATTTCCTAAGGAATGAGGAACAGACAAATTAAGCAACAAACATTTTTGGATGTTGTATGCCTTGTGAATTATCAGACATTTTGGCCCTGTTCTTACCTAGAACTGTGGCAATTTTCCTCACTGTAACAAGCCTAAAATTCTTGGTCAGAAGGAAATCTGCCAGGTAACTTCCCAGGAGGCAAACAACCCAGGCAATAATAAAAGGAAGGGCAGACAGGAAACCACTCTGAAGGGAAAACATTGAGTAAACCATCATAACAAAGGCCATGAGACCACAACCTTATACTGATAAATCACTAATAATCCTACTAGCAACTCTGAAATCATACTTTCCTAAGAAAATCAGTGGTCCCTTCCATCATACCTTCAGAAAAGCTACTCACATTACTGTTAAATTATTTCTTGGTAATAAAAGATAAATTTTTCTAGATGAATGATTTGTGAAGACAGAGTAATTTGAGAGTCGTGCAAACAGGAAAAATGGTTGGAGGGAAATATACTCACATTTCTAATATCAATGTTGAACACAGAGCTAATGTAAGTTGGTGCATATATAGTTATTACATTAATTAACCACTGATGGCTGAAACAGCAAACACACATGGACCAGAGGGGTAGAGATCTGACCATAGCTTTGATGGGAAGAGGCTGCTTAGTAGAGCTGACCTGAAAACAAATTTACTGATCAGAATAGTAAGATCTGAGACATGCTCACATGTTCATAGTCACTCTGATAAATTCAGATGCTGATATAAGACCTCTGGAGAAGGTTGGAGTTTTATGTGTACCTGTTGGGCCAAGGAGGATATGATATATTCTTTCTCTGTAATGTTTATCCATGGATGAGCGACGGGTTCATCATAAACCAAAACACACCAGAGAGGAAAGCAGACACAGCCAAAACCTCCTGCAAGCAGAGATTAAATTGGTAAACTTCTGTGTGAATTTCATCTCAATTGGAACATTTTCTGGCAAAAGCTCTTGCTCATAATATCTTCTTTCCACTTCTCAAAAAATTCACATGAATATCACAGCTTTTTTAATAAGTCTAGAACCTATTATTTCACATTTCTTGATTATTTGTGTGCATGAAAATCACAGACCCTAGAAATGGCATTAAACTTGGTATCTCAACTTCTTAAGAAGTCGAAGCAGTAACAGATTTTATTTTCTTGGGCTCTGAGATCACTGCAGATGGTCACAGTCATGAAACTGGAAGATACTTGCTTCTTGGAAGGAAAGCTATGACAAACCTAGACAGCATATTATAAAGCAGAGACATCACTTTGCTGACAAAGGTACCTATAGTCAAAAGCTACAAGCTTTTCCAGTAGTCAGGTACAGATGTGAGAGCTGGATCATAAAGAAGGCTGTATACCAAAGAATTGATGCTTTCAAATTGTGGTGCTGGAGAAGACTCTTGAGGGTCTCTTGGACTGCAGGAGATTAAACCTGTCAATCCTAAAATAAATCAACCTTCAATATTCATTGAAAGGACTGATGCTAAAGCTGAAGTTGTAATACTTTGACCACTTGGTGTGTACAGCTGACTCCCTGGAAAAGACCCTGATGCTGGGGAAAGACTGAAAGCAAAAGTAGAAGAGATTGGCAGAGGATGAGATGATCAGATAGCATCACTGAGTCAATGGACACAAACTTGAGCAAACTCCATGAAATAATGGAGGACAGAGAAACCTGGTGTGCTGCAGTCCATGGGGTCACAAAGAGTCAGACATTACTTAGCAATTGAACAACAACAACAAAGGAAAACTATATATCTACTCACAACACTTCTGACACTATCTGTGTTGGTTTTTCACACTAAGAAAGTCTCTAATTCTCTTCATACACCAAGCTAGTGTCCTACAATTTAGGCCAATTCTGACAGTATCTGGCATTAGCACAGACCCTACAGGGTAAGGACTCAGTCACACAGACTGCCTCCTACTTCAGATACTAAGTGCGACTAATGAGTCCCCAAATTAAAATTTCCACACTTACGTTCAACTTTACTACAAATTCTGAGGTTCCTGCAACTCCCTCTCAGTTTGATAATGTGGTAAAACAGCTCACAAAACTCAGGGAAATATTCATTTTTATTTACTGGTTTAATATAAAGGGACTTCCCTGGTGGCTCAGACAATAAAGTGTCTGCCTACAGTGTGGGAGACCCGGGTTCAATCCCTGGGTTGGGAAGATCTCCTGGAGAAGGAAATGGCAACCCATTCCAGTAATCTTGCCTGGAAAATCCCATGGATGGAGGAACCTAGTAGGCTACAGTCCATGGGGTCACAAAGAGTAAGACGTGACTGAGCGACTTCACTTCACCTTCACTTTATTGTAAAGGACATGATAAAGGTTCATGACAAGTGAACAGCCGGATGCCATGAATAGGGTGGGATCTGGAAGGGTCCTGAGTGTAGAAGCTTCTGACCCTGTGGAGTTGGGCACGTGCTCCCCTCCCAGCATGTGGGTGTGTTCATCAACCTGGAAGCTCTCAGAACCCTTTAGCTTAGGGATTTTAAGGAGGCTAAATCATGTAGGTATGCAATGCTGTGTTTAGTCGCTCAGTTGTGTCTGACTCTTTGCTACCTCATGGACTGTTGCCCCATGAGGTTCCTCTGTCCATGAGGATTCTCCAGGCAAGAATGCTGGAGTGTGTTGCCATTCCCTTCTCCAGGGGATCTTTCCAACCCAGGGATCAAACCCATGTCTCCTGCATTGCAGGTGGGATTCTTTACCATCTGAGCCATAACTAATTATTAATACAATCTGAAGCACCCTCTCCTCCCAGGAAGATGGAGGGTGGGGCTAAAAGTTCCAAGTTTCTAATCATGGCTTGGTCTTTCTGGTGGCCTCCATGCTGAAGCTATCCAGGAGGCCACCAAAAGTCACCTCATTAGATGAAAGATGCTCCCCTAACTCTATGTAGTTCATTCTGGATGGTTTCTGTTGTTATTTTTAAGTTCATTAATTATTTCTTCCATTGTATTATCTGTCATTAATTCAATCCTTATAGTGTAGTTTTATCTCTAGAAGTTTGATTTAAGGTCTTTTAAAAATATGTTTTGCTTGTCTTAACTTCTGAACAAATAGAGTTATAATATAGTTATAATAACTATTCTTGTGTGCTAATTCTAACATTTGTGTCAGTTCTGGGTTGGTTTTGATTGATTAATTATTCTCCTTGTTATGGATTATGTTTTCCTGCTGTTGTCCATGCCTGGTAACCTATGGTTGGAGCCATTATGGAATTCAGCATAACATGAACTATATTTTGTTGGGTGCTAAATATTTTTGTATTTCTATAAATATTTTTGAGCTTTGTTTTGAGATACAGTTAAATTACATGGAAACACTGATCCTTTTAGATCTATCATCATCATTTGTTAGAGAGATCCACAATAGAGTGTTCCCTGGAGCTAATTATTTCTCACTACTGAGGAAAGACACTTACGAGAATACTGCCCAATGAGCCAAGAATTAAACATTTTTTCAGTCTGCTTTGTGGAAACAGGCACTAGCCACGATGCTCTAGAAGTACTGGGACACTATTCTTTAATCTTTTCCAATGATTTCCATCCTCCCCTGCCCTCAGATATTGTCCTCACACGTATACCCAGATCGGAGCTCTGCAGAGTATCAAGGAGGACTCTGCAGATAGCCAGGGCTTTCTGTGTGTGCAGGTATCTCCGGTTAGGTGCTCTTTCCTGTTGGCTATACCTGCCTCACTCTCTCAGGGCTCTTAGCTCCACCTCCTCAACTCTGATTCTTCTGCCTCTCACAAACCACTGCTTTTCAGGTTTGTCCCCTACTTCCTGCTAGGGCAGCAGAGTTTGCCCAATCACTCTGCATTAATAATGCATCATGGTGGATGTCTTTGGTGGTCCAGTGGTTGAGAATCCACCTGCCGATGCAGGGGACTCAGATTTGATCTCTTTTGTGGGAAGATTCCATGCGCCATGGGGCACCTAAGCTTGTGTGCTACAACTACCGAAGCCTGTGCACCCTAGAACCTGTGCTCTGCAACAAGGGGCCACTGCAGTGAGAAGTTCATGCACTGCATTGGATAGAGAGTAGTCCCCGCCCACCACGACCAGAGCAAGTCCACACGCAGTAATGAAGATCCAGCACAGCCAAAATTAATTAATTAAATATTTTAAAAATGCATCATGGCAGTTTAACAGCATCATAGGCAGGAGAACTCCCAAATTCTTTGATGGCGTAGGTTCATTCTTCCCAACTATTATATTAAGACATTTTGTTTTACTAGAATCTTTCTATCTTGACTCATTTCTTCCAGAAAAGTACACACAGTTAGATATCAGAAGAGTCACCTTAGATATGAAAACCTGGGAGTGGGGAGATAGTAGCTTACCAAATATATAGAAGACAAAAGGCCACCCGAGGGTTTGACTGATGATGCCACCCAGCAGGATGGCAATGGAGGTTCCCAGCAGCAATCCTGCAAAGAGAGAATAAGGCCGTGGGGGCTGGACTGCCACCCACTAGGTGCCTACAAAAGGACAGGTGACATAATAGAGAGCACTATCACCATAAAGAGATGAGCATGGTAGAATATATATATGAAAGTCAAATTTGTGATTGAGTTCATAGGTTCTCCTAAAGACCCATTTTTCTGGCAGTTCCCTAGTATCACTGTAGATGACAACTATGCTTTTATGCTATTTTAATTTTTAATTACACAATTCATATAATATATATGCTTATTGTAAAAGTAAGTTACCACAATGAACCAAATGCCCCGCCAATCCATTTCTACTCTTTTCTCTAATGTTAACCAGGAGCTACAATTTATTACATGACGTATAATTGCATACTTTTCTTCTCTGTACACATACATAATATACACTGATATGCATATGTTGCTTTGTAAATGTATTTATGGAATATGTAGACGGCAAGTTAGATACATTTGCCTATTAATATGCTAACAACACTTTTATTTCCATGGCTTTACAGAGTATTCACATATAATGTGGGCACATTTTCCTTTTACAACTTTTTCAAAACTAGACTATTAGGTTTTTAAAATTTCCCAGATGAACATTAACTGGTCAAATTTTATATATATGTATGTGAGTTATTATTAACTTTAAATAAGTAGGACATAGGTACAATAATGTACCTATTGTCCCATGACATTTATTTTTTAGTTCCAACTGGTCTTGTAAATATTTCCATGTCACTCTAGATTCTACAGCCATTGTAATTTCTGAACATAAACTATCACTTCTGAACATAAACATAATTTATTTCTAAATAGTAAAATATCAGCAGTAGACTTGCTAAATCATAGATTGGACATTTTTTATTTTGACAGATACTGCTGAAGTATCCTGCTAAAAGTCCATACCAACTTAAGTTGCCAACAAATACTTGTTCCTCATCTCTTGACAACATTGGACATCCTCAAAATTCTAATATAGTTTTCCAAATGTGAATATAAAACAGTATACCTTTTTTCTTTTTATAGTGAAGTTGAATTATTTTTCCTATGTTTGTCATTTTTTATTTCTTCTGTGAAAAGTCTGTTCATAATCTTTTTATTTGTTTCTTTCACTTTGCCGCAATTTATAGAACCTTTATGTGTTATAAATAACCCTCTGTCATGCTGGCTGCAGTTCTCTTCTCCCACTTTTAACTTTGTTTATGGTGTGTTTTGTAATCCAGCAGTTGTAAGTTTTCATGGGGTTCAGATCTATGAGGTTCCTCTGTAATGACTTCTAGACACTCATTTGCTTAAAAGGGCTTTCCCGATCCCACAGTTAAAAAAAAAAGATCACTTATGTTTTTCTTCTCATTTGGCCATGCAGTTTGTTGAACCATCTTATCTGTGTTATCTACTTAAGCACCAATATCCAAATTTACAATTGAGGAAATAGAAACATGGAAAAGTTAATTAACCACCCCAAGGTCATACAATTAATAAGACGGAAAGGCAGCATTTGAAATGAGACTGCCTGACTTCAGGACACAAATCAATGAAGATGGAAATAAGTACCTTTTTCCACCACTGCATCCCTCAAAGCTGTATTCTTTTCTCTAAACTCTCTGCCTTTATGCCAGTTATAATGGGGGACAGGTCACTGCATCAGTCCAAAACCTGGGCCCTTGTTCTTCTTTCCACCTCTTTGCACCCTATCTTAAATGTATTAACTCACCCCATTTTCCTTCTTACATCTCACTCTGTGTTTTAAATTGGCTTGACAAACTGCAATTATAACACCTGTTTTTTGTCTGTGAGCCTAACTATTCCATGATTCCTGGCTTGGTTGTGTACCTGGGACTACCACTGCATTGAGGCAATTTCCCCATGATAGATATGCTTTATTTATTCAACATTTCTGTTACTAAGACTTATTCATGTTGTTGCATTCAGCTATTCATATTCATTGCTGTATGATATATGATCCTTAGATTAAAGGTGTGTGTATGCGTGTGTGTTTCCATTACCTATGAGACCTGCCTCAAATGTGAGCTACCAAATCTGTTTAGTCTGCTTACTCTTCTTCATTAATTTACTGAGCTCCTCAAGTGGTTACAAAGCTTCCTACCTATAGGTGTACCTTTGTGGGCCCGTTAGAAGAAAATACAGTACATTTTGTCCTAGAGGCTAGCAGTAGCTGGGCTCTTCTGCTAAGGACTTCCCCAGTGGCTCAGTTGGTAAAGAATTTGTCTGCAATGTAGGAGACCCAGGTTCGATTCCTGGGTAGGGAAGATCCTCTGGAGAAGGAAATGGCAACCAACTCCAGTATTCTTGCCTGGAGAATTCCATGGACAGAGGAGCCAGGCAGGCTACAGTCTGTGGGAAGAATTGGACACAACTGAGTGATTAACTTTCACTTTCACTTTCTTCTAAGGAACAGGTACTTTTCTGAAAGTCCTCCTCCAACCTCAAGAGCTGAGTGATGCTGTCCTTAGTGCAGCCTACTAGGGAGCCCCAGCATGAGTGGAAATGGTAGTTTCTCTGAGAATCACTGAAGTAGGCAGGTAGGTTCAGTTCACTCCACTGGTTCATGGGTTCCTCCGATGATTTTCTGTCTGGGCCTCCCAGACAACCATAAGTTCTGTGTTCCCAGAACCAGGTTCTGGAGGCCATCTACCTGGGGCTGCTAAGATTCCCCAAAATCAAAGACAAGGGAGACTCTCGAACTTGCAGTCTTGTACGTTCCCAAGATTCCTCTAGACAGTCAGTTGACCTATCCCAGGTGCTCTGTTCTTATTTGACAGGAAATGAGAAGAAAAGGAGTTGTCACTTTTATAAGGTCACTGCTTTCATTTGAGTCTTTAAAATTTTCTTTCGTGCTTTCCAACTCCTGAATTTCTTGTACTGTATTCTGGAACAATATCTCAATATTTGTCCAGTTCACTGATGAGATGGCCTTAGCCTCATATAGGTATTCAGATTTCTCATTTCAATTAAAAAATACTAGCAGTAATATTTTTAATTAGCACCTATTCTTTTTTTTAAGTGAATGTCATGTACACATATCTCCCTGGATCTCTCTGATATTATTCATTAATTATTTAAAATCTTCTCTTTTTCATTTGGATTAATTGCAGTTTTTGAGTTTGGTTTCTCTCTTTCACTCTTGATTTTCTCCAAATTTTTGAGGATTTAGGAAGACCATTCCTTATTTATATTTGAGGACATCCCTTAGTCAGCTGTGGTAACCAAAGTGAATCTCCTTAGTCTAAACTGGAGCTCCACTCCCCTACCAGTGGATGTGAGCTCTGATGACAAAGATTAAACCTCTGGAGTTGTGAAGGGCTCTCGAAAGGCATAAGGTCAGGTGGGTGTGTGTGTACATGGCTTGTTGTCTGGACTTGAAGAGTCCTTGGCTCTCTAACTCAGCACTTATACTTTGGCCATCTAACAATGTGTTAGAGATGTCCATCACCAAAGGTTGTATATTGTCACCCTGCTTATTTAACTTATATGCAGAGTACATCATTAGAAAGGCCAGGCTGGATGAAGCACAAGCTGGAATCAAGATTGCTGGGAGAGATATCAATAACCTCAGATAAGCAGATGACACCACCCTTATGGCAGAAAGTGAAGAAGAACTAAAGAGCCTCTTGATGAAAGTGAAAGAGGAGAGTGAAAAAGCTGGCTTTAAACACAACATTCAAAAAACTAAGATCATGGCATCTGGTCCCATCATTTCACGGCAAATAGATGGGGAAACAGTAGAAACAGTGACAGACTCTTTTCTTGGACTCTAAAATCACTGCAGATGGTGACTGCAGCCATGAAATTAAAAGATGTTTGCTCCTTGGAAGAAAAGTTATGACCAACATAGACAGCATATTAAAGAGCAGAGACATTTCTTTGCTGACAAAGGTCTGTATAGTCAAAGCTATGGTTTTTCCAGTAGTCATATATGGATGTGAAAGTTGGACTATAAAGAAAGCTGAGCACCCAAGAATTGATGCTTTTGAACTGTGGTATTGGAGGACTCTTGAGAGTCCCTTGGACTGAAAGGAGATCCAACCAGTCAATCCTAAAGGAAATTAGTCCTGAATATTCATTGGAAGGACTGATGCTGAAGCTGAAACTCCAATACTTTGGCCATCTATTGCAAAGAACTGACTCCTTAGAAAAGACCTGATGCTGGGAAAGACTGAAGGCAGGAGTAGAAGGGGACAACAGAGGATGAGATTGGTTGAATGGCATCACTGACTCGATGGACATGAGTTTGAGTAAGCTCTGGGAATTGGTAATGGACAGGGAAGCCTGGCATGCTGTAGTCCATAGGGTCTCAAAGAGTCAGACACAACTGAGTGACTGAACTGAACTGAATGTGTTAGCCATACTATTTCCATTTTCCATTACTCCTTAGTGTAACTGATATTTCTTCCTCTGGAGTTTTCATTCCAGGCACACTGTCCAGGCAGATCATTATCAGAAAGCTGTTCTCAGGACAACTGAGAGCTATTCCAAAGAAGATTAAGTTGGATCCATGCCTTACACTCAACACTAGTATAAATCCCAGTATGTCATAAATTTAAATATAAAAAAATGAAACCATGCATAGTCAATAAAAGCCATGGTTGGATGCTTTTGCAACATTTCTAACTATGATTCAAAGTCCAAAAACCATAAAATAAAAGAACGATCAATTTGACTACATCAAAATGCCTTTTTGAAAAATGGCAAAAATCATTATAAGCAAAATGAAATCACAAATGATAGCCTGGGGAAAATAACTGAAAGTCATGTGAGAGACAAAGGACCCATCCCCCTAATTTATAAATACTTGATCAACATTAAGCAGAAGACAAAGAATCTTGTAATGAAAAAAAAAGTGGTCAAAAAACAAAAAAGACAAACTGTCAAAGAACTCAGTGAAAGAATGTTGGATTGTAGTGGACTCGTTTCAGTTATATGTTTTTACCTGATACAGCGACGCCACAGAGTCGACTTCGTTCATGTGGAGGACTCCATCTTTCCCAGATTGCAAACTGACCCCCATATCCTAACCCCTGAAATAAAAATAGAGTTGTTGATACATGGTCCCACAGAGAAATTCATATTCAATCATATTTATAAAATATCTGGGTACCAGGCTCATGCCCTGAAGTATTCGAGTTGCAGTGAGGAAAACTAGTCCAAAGTCAGCTGCCAGAGGGGTGAAAAGAACAAGAAGGGAGGATCCAAGCAGAGCAGCACCAACCACTCGTTTTGTTCCTACTCTTCCAGCCAGGTACCCACTGGGAGCCAGTGTCAGAATCATGCCATAGTTGATAGCACTAAAGATGATGCCCTGGATTTGAGGGTTCCAATCATACACAGGGGCCTTAAAGAAAAAGACAGTGCTTTGTAAGCCATGCATAGGAAGGTTCTTTCATAACTTAAGAAGCTTCTTTAGATTTTTCACTTACTTAAAAATCACAGTTTCCTCAATTAAAACTTTTTAACACACAAATTCTAGAAAAATATGGGCAGGGAGGTGGGAGGGGTGTTCAGGAAGGGAATACATGTACACGCATGGCTGATTCATGTCAATGTATGGCAAAACCCACTACAATATTGTAAAGTAATTAGCCTCCAATTAAAATAAATAAATTAAAAAAAATTCTAGAAAAATAAACATTGAAATAAACAGCAAAAACAAAAACATAACTTGAATCTTTCATTGCTTACCCCTGCAGGAAGACTCTTTGGGGAATTATTTGGGTCACCAAAGGAATCAACAGGCAACCCCTCAGTGGAGTCATTAAATGAGGGCTGATGGGTTGTGCTGTTGACCATGGCTACCATGGTGATATTCATGATAATATTTTGTGCCATTATTATGAAGTTGCAGAGGTGTACCATGAAGGCTATTCCATAGCGAGTGGAACAAATGCCAGGAGCTAGAAATATTAAGACAGTGTATTAGTACTTTCCTTATCGAACCTTTATTTACTTTTCACAAGTTAAAATACAGAAAGGTATCACCTGATGATTCAAATGCACTTCTATTGGCTTTGGGAAAGAAAGATTACAAAAAGAGGAAACCGTTGAGTTGAATCAAAGGATGTTTTATACCACAGTTTTATAGAACCTGACTTTTTCTGGGGAGTTCTGTTCTTGCAATTTTGTCTTTCCAATTCTTAGATTATTGAAGTCTGTGGCTGATGAAATTGCTCATAGTTAAATATATAAAGATATGATATATATTAAAAGTAAATATATACATAAAAATAAAATATGTATATGTATACATACTTAAATTATATAATTTATAAGTACTACATTATATACATATATACATAGATAATGTAAATTTTTAAATATTGAAAGAGTTGTTCACTGCTGTAGAGTTCACTGGTTCTCATCTTAGTGAGGGCAAACTTTCACTTAAGTTTTGAAATTAAACCTATAAGTTTTCTCATTAGAAAAAAATTGACACCCACAAACTATGAAAAAATATAGTAAAAAAACAGAAAAAGAAATGAGCACAAAATTAAAATAATCTGTTTTTGTACTTTTAGGAAAGATGGCTATTGCCAGGAAGAAAGTATTACAACAATCCAGAAGAGAAGCAAAGAACCGTAGACTAGGTTGGCAACTGTAGAACTAAGATATGATAAGATCCCAGACAGGTCCCAGTAGGTGAGTAACTGAATCTTGGTTTCAAGTTTACAGATTGGGGGAGGGGAATTGGAGGGATTCTTATTCTAAACAGCAGGAAGAATGGGGTTGGCTGTTCACTGAGGAAGAGATCTGTGGAAAAAGAAGGTTTGAGGCAGTGGAGTGATAAAGAACTCATTATTGGACAATTAAGACAAGGATGCCTTTTAAGCACTCAGGAGATGCTGAGAATGTTGTTGGATATAAAACTCTAGAGTTTAGGAGAGATGTAGAGGCTGAGGCATAACACTGGGATTTAATAATCTACAGATAATACTTGAAGCCATGATATTTAGAAAATGAGAATAAATAGAGAAGATAACCAAGGACTGACTCTAGGGTTCTCCAACACTTGGAGGCTGGATAAATGGGGAGAAATTGGCAATAGAAACTGAAAAAGAAGGGTAGGTGGGATAGGAGAAAACCAGGAAGAATGTGGTGACCTCAAAGCCAAGGTGTAAGGGGCTACAGCTAGGAGGGAGTCAGAAGGTATGTCAGATATTTCTGGTAGGTTACATAACATGATGACTGAGAATTAACTCATTTAACCTTCACAACAATCCTATGAGGCAGCTACTGCTATTGTTATACAGGTGCAGAGAGGTCAGCTAACAGAATAGCTCAGGTGTCTATGCCCTTATCCACTGTGCTGTCTGTATATGGCGGCTCCTATTTTATCCCAGATGATTCCATGAGAATACCTTTGCCACAACCCCAGTGCCCTATAGGGTTTGTATGATGACATGGTGTAGGAGAGGAGGATAATACTATGTATTGTCAAGAAGTCTTCAAAACTTCAAGAAAAGAAGTGCCTTGAGGTTTACAAAAGAGCCTTTCCCTCAAGGCTATACTCTCTTAAAGTGAAGTGAAGTCGCTTAGTCATGTCCGACTCTTTGCCATCCCATGGACTATAGCCTACCAGGCTCCTCAGTCCAAGGAGTTTTCCAGGCAAGAGTACTGGAGTGGGTTGCCATTTCCTTCTCCAGGGGATCTTCCCAACCCAGGGATTGAACCCGGGTCTCCCGCACTGTGGGCAGATGCTTTACCTTCTGAATCTTTTCATTGAATGGAGGGAAGGAGGAGAAATTTGGAAGAAACTGGAAAATACACTGTAATTAAATGAGGAGTTAAAAAATAATATACTTTTAATAAAGTTTTCCTTTTTCAGGAATGGATGATGATTTCCAATGTCAATCAGATCAGCTAATAATTTATCAGTTCTTGTGGCCTCTGATTTCTCCAATGTACTTGGGGATCGTAGAGGCCAAAGGCTATTAAAAGGATTATCAGCAAACCAGGTGACTAATGGTTCACAAATGGGTGGAGTGAAGATCTGCCTCATGTGATTGCTGAAAGATCCACTATAGAGTATATTTAAAAGGCTTAGTCTGCTGCTTGCTGCATATTAAGTGTTCCCTACAGGCTACTATATGTGTCCTAAATCTTTGTGTCTTTTTGACTGCCCTGAGCAGTTTGCGGACTCTTAGTTCCCTGGTCAAGGATCAAACCCAGGTCCCCTACAGGAGAAGTTCAGAGTCCTAACCTCTGGACCGCCAGGGAATCCCCACTATATGTGTCCTTAAAAATGGTTTCCTGTGTCTAGTGAAAATATATGAAAAATAATGTTGGTGCAACATCTCATATGTTAAATTTTTAAAAGTCAGTATATAATACAAAAATACTGCATTTGGTCAAATTGACTTAAGGTACATCATTTTTGCTCCACTAAGAATCAACTGATCAACTAATCAACAAATCAAACTTAATAGATCCAAAACTAAATTCCTATGTTCCCCGTCCCAATCCTGCTCCACCCAAATTGCTTTCCAACTCAGCTGACAGAAATACCATCCTTCCAAATACTTTACAATTTATCCTTGATTTTTCTTCCATAGCCTACATCTCATCTACCTAGAATAGAGTGTTGTCTTTACATTCAAAATGTACATAGAATTCTACAGCATTTTCAGTGCTCTACTTATACCATGATGGCTTCCCTGGTGGCTCAGATGGTAAGGCATCTGCCTACAATGCAGGAGACCCGGGTTCAATCCCTGGGTCAGGAAGATCTCCTGGAGAAGGAATTGGCAACCCACTCCAGTATCCCGTGGACGGAGGAACCTGGTAGGCTACAGTCCATGGGGTCGCAAAGAGTCAGACACGACTGAGCGACTTCACTTTCTTTTCTTTCACTTATACCATAAATTTGGTCACACTCTTTTCTACTCAAACTTCTCTATGTGGCCTCATTTTGTTCAGATTAGAAACTAAGGTCTCTATAATGGCCAGTGGAAATGAAATATTTGTAACCATTGCTTCAGATTTGTATTTTTCTTAGGAAAAAGGCCTGAGGAAGTACTAATTCCAACTGTAGACAAGTGTTATGTTAAAGGATATCATGAGATGTATATATACATGTATTGGAAAGGAAAATGGCAACCTCCTCCAGTATTCTTGCCTGGGAAATCCCATGGACAGAGGAGCCTGGTAGGCTACAGTCCATGGGGTCACAAAAGAGTCATACATGACTTAGTGACTAAACAACATATATGTGTGTGTGTGTACACACGCACATACACACAGATATGTTATATATAATATATACAATGTTATATCTATGTAACTACATCTATCAGTTAATCTATGTATATGATATGCTAAGTCGCTTCAGTTGTGTCTGACTCTGCAGCCCTATGGACCATAGCCCGCCAGGCTCCTCTGTCCACGGGATTCTCCAGGGAAGAATACTGGAGTGGGTTGCTATGCCTTTGTCCAGGGAATCTTCCCAACCCAGGGACTGAACCCACAGCTCCTGCGGCTTCTGCATTGCAGGAGGATTCTTTACCGCTGAGTCACTGGGATAGATAAGCAAAAAAAAAAAAAAGAAAAAAAGCAGCTACACAACTTAAATATACAACCCCAGGAAGAATTTTCAGGCAAATGTACTTTCTCTGTTGGATAAACAGGAAAAATAATATGTATCATTTAAGAATAATGATTATAAGGCAAACAGAAACATGTGTGATCCAAAATACACAACATAATATATACATCACAGAATTATGTAAAATATACATATAAAGAGAGACAATAAAAAAATCACAGTGGTTGAATTAAGCTTATTAATTTTTTCATTTCTTGATTTTTCAAGGTTTCTGTAATTAATTTTTAAAATTTTCCTAATTAAGCAATGTAATTAGGCTTATAATTTTACATGCAATAACAAGCAGAGTACACAATACTATGTTTAGACAACTTGGTAGCAATTATCAAGAATGTAATGCATATGGATTAAGATTAGAAGGATCATCAAAAGTAAAATACTTTTTTAGAATAGTGGTATTTGTTTCTTTCATGTCTTTGCAAAGGTACAATAATAGTATTGAATACTTGGTTTCAAAAAAGGAATTATACAACTTAAAAGATACAAATTCATTTCTTTGCATTACAACATTGTAAAAATCCACCATAAAATCCTAAAACCACCTAGTCGAGACTGAGTTTACCTTTCCTAGGGTTGAGCTTCTCATCCTCTTGTATATCTTGAGAGTTCTTCCCTGCTGTGGGACTCAACTCTGTCATAGTGGTAACTGTGTTCTTCTCTTCTGATGTCTGTTTTTCACCTCTCAGGGTGATGGAGTGTGATCCAATATATCAGGCATGAGAAAAGAGACTCCTTTAAAACACTTTAAAAATGAGCAACAGAAAAAATTAAATAAAAATAAAAAGTGGGCAACAGGCAAACAAAAGCTGGTGGGAGTCACTTGGAGTCAAGTAGTCCACCTGACCAGGAGCCACTCTCCTATCCAGCTACCCCTTTGGCAAAGTAGGGCGGGCCAAAGTAACCTAACTCTAATTCACATCTGGCTGAGTCTTGTCCAACATTTATTTACACTGTTTAACCTGTGATCAGAAGCAGCTTTGTTTCAGGAAGAATCTCAAGCTCTAGAATCAGAGGACCTCTGATACTTCTTAACTTTGCAATAGCAGATGAATTAATAAAGATACCTCTGCCTCCGTTCCTTTATCTGTCAAACTACTGTAATGAATTTCATTAAATATTACTATCAAAAAAAAGTTGGGCCATTCCATCTGGGTTGGTAGAAGAGGATCATCACCTATTCTTGGCTCAATACAACAGGCATACCTAAGGTTTGGAACTGTTTATTATTTAGGATCTAGAGTACTCACCAAGTGCCAATTTCACAGTGGTAGATTTGGAGCTTGGCGTTCCTTGGTTCATATCCAGGCTTGTGATTTACCTAATGCGCCAAGTGTTACCAGGAACAAATTTGTGTATTTCAGTTTCCCATCTGTTGTTAATAACAAGGACAACAACAACAGTGCAGCTGCAGCACCTTCATCAAGGATTTATAAGGATTCAATAGACAGCACATGGTTGCTATATGGTTTACTGCCATCATTGCTGGAGTTTATTTCACTCAGCATAATTACTTTGAGTTTCATCTATGCTGCCCATATTAATACTTCATTCCTTTTTATTGCTGAGCAATACTTCATGGCATGGTTATACCACAATTTGTTTACCTGGTCACCTTTTGATGAAAAATTGCATTATTTGCAGTTTGTGGCCATTAAAAATAAAGCTGCCATGAACATTCAAGCACAGGTCTTTGTTTAGACATGTGCTTTCATTTTTCTTAAATACCTCTAAGTAGAATGGCTGGGTCATATGATAAACATATGTTTAACTTTTTAAGAAAATGATACATTGCTTTTCAAAGTGGTTGTACCATTTTACATCCTCACTAACAGTGTATGAGAGAGGTCCAGATCCACTACATACTAAACAGTTTGGTGTGGTCAGTCTTTTTAATTTTAGGCATTTTGAAAGATGTGTATTAATATCTCATCATGGTTTAATTTTTATTTCTATAATGAGGTGGAGCATCTTTCCATGTTTTCATTTGCTATCCGTGTAGCTTCTTTAGAGAGGTATCTCTTCAAATCTTGGCATGAGGCATTCTAATTCCCTGGTGTGGCCAGGACTTTTTAAAAATAGACCTTTTACACCTGAAACTAGCAATATTGTAAACCAACTATACTTCAATTTTAAAAAATAGACCTTATACACGTAGGTTAACTGCCCTGATTTTAAACGCAAATATTGTTTGGGAGATACTTGACTAAATAATAAATATGTGGCCAGACGTATTGTCTTGTACAACCTGGCAATGATGAACAAGCATATGTTGTTTTTATTAACAGCTTTTCCCGATGTGTGATATTTATTCTCACTTCCATGTTCTGCTATGATGTCAGTCAATGTAACTCTGTGGTTACGAGACATTACCATCCCCCTACTGTAGGACTATTTGGACTGGAACATTCTGAATGTCAGAGTACTTCCAGTTTTCTACTACCTCTATTCCAGACAACAGGGCATGCCTTGTCTTGGAAATCAGAGTGTCCAGTCTCAGCAGATGTGACCATGTACATGAAGATAATTCTCCCAGGAGATGTTATGAGCATTCACTCACACAGCTAAACAGGTGGCTGAGCACAGAGAGCAAACAGAGGCCCACATAAGGGAAAGTTCTGAGAGCATCTGACTCTCAAGGGAGCAGCTGAATTTCAGGAGAGCTTGGTGACCTCAAGAAAGTTTTCTGGCTGGATGCCCCGGCAGTGAAGTTGCCAGGATAATTTCACTCCCATTAGCCTCCAAGGCCAAGGGGTATGCAAAAGAAAGTACATATATATCATATGTGTTTTCTATTTATATATGTGTTTACACCCACATGTACATTCACACATATTTTTTAACAGCTACCTTATTTCCCACTATTGGTCGAGAAAACCCTGCTGGTTGCCTGAATCTGAGATGATATGGCATAGTGAGATGTTTCTGGTTTGAAGTCATGTTCACAGGGAATCATTTTGAGGTTTACCTTCCTGCAGAGCCCCCTGGGTTTAAAGGCTGGGGGTGTTCTAATAATAGCATTGTGTCTACATATCTGAGAGGCCACAAGGACCACCCAAAACTTGTAACTTCTACATCCCTGCCTTGAGGATTCTCCCTGATCACCTCCTTCCAACTATCCTCAACCCACCTACAATTTTCTGGTGGCTGTGATGACCATACCATTGCCTCATCTATCCCCAAACATTTTTGTTTGGTTAAATTTCACACCATCTCACTGGTTCTGACTCAGCATTCCTCTAGATGCTGTCTTAGACCAGAGTCACCCCCAGTTCTGTCTTGTGTCAAAGTCCTGGACCCTAATTGATCTGGGTGGGAAACTAAGGCAATGAATTTGATTACAAAAGGCCGGAGTCCTTTAGGACACTGGGAATAATAGCCCTGTTGCTGCTGTGAATCTGTCCAGGAGAAAAATCCTGCACAACTTTAATGGGAGTGGGAGGGAATGAATTTTCATGTAAGAGACAGTGATGCGGTTGCCAATGCTTTCTTATCCGGAATGTTCTTTCACAACCACTCTGTAGCTCTTCCTGTGTGTCCTACCAGCTGTTGCAACAACAGAAATTATGATAACCACAGTTGTTAACTACTAACCCAGGCAGTTCACATCAACACCAGATGGAGATATTATTGACCCGTTTCATCCAGCTCATCCCATTGGTAAATGAAAGCTCTGATGTTTGTTCACAAGCCCCCAAATTGAATTCCCAAATCTCTGCCTTTAAACATTTCACTACAGCACCTGTTTATTGGAAAGGTCTTCCACAGTTGGCATTTTCTCAAAGTTCTGGGTTATCAGACACAAAACTTCAGCTTCCTGCTTCTGCCTCTCTTCTGTTCATGTTATTAAGGAAACTGGGCTTTTATATCTCCACTCACTTTTTTTAAATCCATATGAGAAAACCTGAGACTTGGGGGCATATAAAAATTGTCAAAAATATACAACTGCTACACAGAAAGGACCCTTTGAGGTCTTTCACAGCAACACCAAGATAAGTGACTTACCGATTTAGTGTGAGGAAGGACTTCGATTTAGAACCTGCTCTCCCTTCAAGCTCTCACCCTCTACAACTTTGCCTGCAAGCAGCTGCAGATGCGTTGCCATCCTGGAGCTTGACTCGGTAATCATTAATGAGATTCATTAGACTAGAAGCTAAATGAGAAGGCGTCTTGCCAAGTGGCCTTTGGGGAAATGTGCCTTGAATATTCGGAATCTAAACCTCCTCTGCACTTTCACCTGCTTATTCACCGACGTGAGATTCTTGACCTTTCTCCTTGGGTTCAGTTCAGTTCAGTTCAGTCACTCAGTCGTGTCCAACTCTTTGCGACTCCATGGACAAAAGCATGCCAGGCCTCTCTGTCCATGATCAACTCCTGGAGTTTACTCACACTTATGCCCTTTGAGTCAGTGATGCCATCCAACCATCTCATCCTCTGTCGTCCCCTTCTCCTACTGCCTTCAATCTTTCCCAGCATTAGGGTCTTTTCAAATGAGTCAGCTCTTCACATCAGGTGGCCAAAGTATTGGAGTTTCAGCTTCAACATCAGTCCTTCCAATGAATATTCAGGACTGATTTTCTTTAGAATGGACTGGTTGGATCTCCTTGCAGTCCAAGGGACTCTCAAGAGTCTTCTCCAACACCACAGTTCAAAAGCATCATTTCTTCAGCGCTCAGCTTTCTTTATAGTCCAACTCTCATATCCATACATGACCACTGGAAAAACCATAGCCTTGATTAGATGGACCGTTGTTGGCAAAGTAATGTCTCTGCTCTTTAATATGCTGTCTAGGTTGGTCATAACTTTTCTTCCAAGGAGTAAGTGTCTTTTAATTTCATGGCTGCAGTCACCATCTGCAGTGATTTTGGAGNAAAACTAACCTTTTCCAGTCCTGTGGCCACTGCTGAGTTTTCCAAATTTGCTGACATTTTGAGTGCAGCACTTTCACAGCATCATCTTTCAGGATCTCAGATAGCTCAACTGGAATTCCATCACTTCCACTGGCTCTGTTTGTAGTGATGCTTCCTAAGGCTCACTTGACTTCACATTCCAGGATGTCTGGCTCTAGGTGAGTGATCACACCATTGTGATTATCTGGGTTGTGAAGATCTTTTTTATACAGTTCTTCTGTGTATTCTTGCCACCTCTTCTTAATATCTTCTGCTTTTGTTAGGTCCATAGCATTTCTGTCCTTTATTGAGCCCATCTTTGCATGAAATGTTCCCTTGGTATCTCTAATTTTCTTAAAGAGATCTCTAGTTTTTCCCATTCTATTGTTTTCCTCTATTTCTTTATATTGATCACTGAGGAAGATTTTCTTATCTCTCCTTACTATTCTTTGGAACTCTGCATTCAAATGGGTATATCTTTCCTTTTCTCCTTTGTTTTTTGCTTCTCTTCTTTTCACAGCTATTAGTAAGGCCTCTTCAGAGAGCCATTTTGCTTTTTTGCATTTCTTTTTCGTGGGGATGGCCTTGCTCCCTGTCTCCTGTACAATGTCATGAACCTCTGTCCATAGTTCATCAGGCACTCTATCAGATCTAGTTCCTTGAATCTATTTGTCATTTCCACTGTATAATTGTTAGGAATTTGATTTAGGTCATACCTGAATGATCTAGTGGTTTTCCCTACTTTCTTCAATTTAAGTCTGACGTCATCAATAAGGAGTTCATGATCCGAGCCACAGTCAGCTCCTGGTCTTGTTTTTGCTGACTGAATAGTGCTTTTCCACCTTTGGCTGCAAAGAATATAATCAATCTGATTTCCATGTTGACCATCTGGTGATGTCCATGTGTAGAGTCTTCTCGTGTTGTTGGAAGAAGGTATTTGCTATGACCAGTGCGTTCTCTTGGCAGAACTCTATTAGCCTTTGCCCTGCTTCATTCTGTGCTCCAAGGCCAAATTTGCCGTTACTCCAGGTGTTTCTTGACTACCTACTTTTGCATTCCAGTCCCCTATGATGAAAAGGACATCTTTTTTGGGTGTTAGTTCTAGAAGGTCTTGTAGGTCTTCACAGAACCGTTCAACTTCTGCTTCTTCAGCATTACTGGTTGGGGCAGAGACTCGGATTATTGTGATACTGAATGGTTTGCCTTGGAAATGAACAGAGATCATTCTGTTATTTTTGAGATTGCATCCAAGTACTGCATACTCCTTGGGTATATCTCCTCAAAACCTCTGATGCCTTCTCTAGTTCAGACATCAGTGTGTGGTTTTTGCTTTGCTTTGTTGAATCTTCAATGATTTTAGTTTGCTTTTGAAAAAATTTAAAAAAGAAAGACAATGTTATAATTAAATAGTTTAGTATTTTTTCCTTCCTTGTATCTGTGTCTTTTCCCTTTGAAATTTTGTTAATTTTTACCCTTTGAAATACTGAACTATAACATTACAGATTGAACTTCACTCTGTAGCTTTCCCTGGGTCCTTTCTCCTTTACACACACAAACACACACCCATAGGAACAAAAGCGAAAACATCTCACATAAATTTAGTGACATTTCTCCATATTTTTCTATTTTTGCTACCTATAGGTGCATTCACAAACTATAAATTAATGCTTTGTATTATTTCTAAATTTGTGTACATGCTATTATATGCTATGAGCCATGCTATAAGTCACTTTGGGGAATAAACAATATGCATGTGGAACTGGGCTTCTCTTGTGGCTCAGCTGGTAAAGAATCCGCCTGCAATGCAGGAAATCTGGGTTAGAACCCTGGGTTGGGAAGATCCCCTGGAGAAGGGAAAAGCTACCCACTCCAGAATCCTGGCCTGAGAATTCCATGGACTGTATAGCCCATGGGGTTGCAAAGAGTCGGACATGACTGAGCAACTTTCACTTTCATGCGGAACACCTATATGCGCATAGTGAAAGCCAACCTCTCCCAATTTCTTTAGGTTGACTTGTTTTTATCTACATCCCTACACAGTTGAAAACATTCTCACTACTTTCCCAGTGTTCATGCGGTTCTGCTCGTCTTCATCTCAGTGATGAACCAATGCCTTCAGATCCCCTGCTTTATGTAGATGATTCATTTCCAGCTCCTTGCATGCTCTGTGCTTGCAGCCCAGACACCTTTTCCTATGTGACATAGACTCAATCTCCAGCCACGGACTATTAACCCTAGTTCAACTCCTATGAGTTCTTCTGGCTTAGGTTCCCATTTGTCACTCTGATTTTAAGTTTCTTCTTAGTTCTTAGTTTATGGCCACTGAGGAGATCTCCTTTTTATTTTGAATTTGACCATTTACACCTATTCAGACTATATAGTGGGAAAGTAAACTATCTCCCAGCATTGTGGTGGAGAAGTGAGATCCTGTCAAAGTCTATCACTAAGATCAAGGATTCTGAAGGAGGTACCTGGGTCTTGGGGAGTCTGAACTACTACTTCCAATCATTTATTGTATGTCCTCCTCACAATTCTTTCAGGTAAATTTTATTATATTCATTATGAGATAATAAGAGGAAAGAAAAACAGATTTGTTCCATCTGCACTTTGGGAATTTAAGCATAGAAATCTATTATGTTGAAGGAAGGGGTATAAATTTCACCTTCCTGTGTAAAAGATTTTTCCCTGAGTCATTTTTTGAAGGACTCTGGACCATGAGATAAATGATCAACAACTTTAGAATTCAAATATGTCTAACCCTGAATTATTATCCAAGTTAGAAAATGTGACTTGGTTTTGCAATTTAATTTTTAACTTTATCTTCAAGTGCTCATGAGTTCTTTTTCCCGAATTTGACTTGGTAGAAATAGATGTACGTTGTCTCTGGGTAAAAAAAGTCCAACTTTGCTTCATTTCTATAAGCAATTTTTAAACACTTGAATATAGATTGAAATATTTCTTTGACTTATACTGTGATATCCACCTATTAAAAATTTTATATGTTTTTATTTTGAAAATGGTTAGTTTTTAAACCGCTTTCTTTTAGTCACTTAGAATTATTAGAGAGGATAGGGCACACATTACTCCTCTGGTAACTTTTAAAATTATCCTCAGAGCTGTTTTCATAAGACTGTCAACAGCTGTCACTGATAATTAGACACATGCCAACTCAGCAAGATGTTGGCTTTCATTCAGGGTAAAGTTTCTGGGCAACTGCTCCAGTGTACAATCCTACTGTGATCATAGAAAGCCTATTGTTTCTAGTCTGGAATGCCAGAATGGGTCCTAGCAGAGGAAGCACCTCTCTTGTGCACACTCTGCCCCAAACCTCACAACGCCCAGTAGTAATTCAGGAGATTCTAGGGCAGCTGTCAAGCAATCACATGAGACGAATCTGAATCCTGAAATGAAAGTCTTGACTTAGTGATAATGGTTATTCTCTGGATCTGGAGCTTGATGCTTTTTCATATTCGTTCTAAACCATGAACCCAATGATGTCTCCTGTCTGCTCAGAAACTTAAGCCCCTATCACGGTACTGGCAAATCCTTTCTTCTCCAAGTTCAAGTCAAACTCCTGTTTGGCATCACTACCTCTATAACAAATGCAGTCAATCTGGTCATTGAACTCATATTGGAAAACTATCTTTATTATTCGGACTTCTATCATATTCTGACTTCTATCAGCTGAACAGAATAGTATATGTTTTGTTATCTACACAACACATTCAATTACATGCTAGATGGTGTGTGTGTGTGTGTGGTCAGTTATGTGCAACTCTTTACAACCCCACGGACTGTAGCCTGCCAGGCTGCTCTGTCCATGGGACTTTCCTGACAAGAGTACTGGAGCCAGTTGCCATTTCCTCCTCCAGGGGATCTTCCTGAACCAGGGATCAAACCTGCATCTCCTGCATTGCCGGCAGATTCTTTACCGCTGAACCACCCAGGAAGCTCATGTGCTAGACTGCCACACTGCAAATACTCCTTCTTTCATCCATAGATATGGCTTTCTTTTAGTCTACTTTCTAGTTTCAATGTCCCTTACTTCTGCAACTACAGTAACAGAAATGCCTAACTGAAACTGCAAAATCTTATGCTATTGAAGATAGCAGTAACAGGAAAGAAAAGAGAACATTTGTGACAAATATAATTTTTAGAAGACATGGACAAAAACTAGGAGTGCTAATGTGTTGAGGTGTTATGTATTTCCATATAAGACAGTAAACAAAATTAACTTGCTATTTGTATTGTAGAAAAAATCATAACTATCAAGCAAGATGGCATTGCATCTTCTCACTAGTATAGGCTCTATAAATTATATCATGTTGCATTTATGTCCAGACCCATAGTAAGTAAAGTACTTACTACCTGGGACTAGGAACAAGTGTATTTTTCTTTGATTCTCACTTATTTGGTGATCACTGAAAGAAACAGGGATAGATAAATCATGCAACAAAACCAAAC